TAATATTTGTGTTTGCAAAAAAATTACATGCTCAGACTCATCTGGCAACTCTGTGTACAATGATTGTTTAAAATTGTTGAGGGATCTTAAAGGTATAAAGTTTTTTGGAAGATATCCGAAAGTCCTTAATATTGTTTTTTGAAATTTTATTTCACACTCCTCGAATACAAAAATCAGTAATTATGCATGTAGCTATCCACCAATGAACAGAGATGCGGGTTTAGGGTTTGGCCTGCTGCTTCGACTGCTTCTCCTTCTTGGCGGCCTCGGCCTCCGCCTGCAGCTTGTTGTACTTTTCGATCAGCTTCTCCACGTCGGGCTTCTCCAGCACACTGTAGACTGTGGCATTGTCCACACGCTGTAGGGTGGCCATCTCCACCTTTTCTGGCGTCAGCTTGGTGGTATCTAGGGTCATGCTGAGTACTTTGATTGCCAGGTCCTTGGCGTCTGCAAGTGTCAGTTTCACGTTCTCTTTGTCGGCGAGCTCTTGCTTCAACATTGAGATGGCAGCCCCGAAGTTGTTGCCGATACAAGTGGCTTTCCAACCGCCGTAGTTGCCGCTGGGATCCGACTGGTACAGCTGGTACCCGTATTTGTTATCCCAACCCATGTAGAGCAGAGAAACGCCGAAGGGGCGCTTGCCGCCGTACTGGGTGTACGCCTGCTTGATGTCGCACAGGTGCGAGACGAGCTGCTCGCAGGGGATCACCTCGCCATAGCTGAACTGGTAGCGCTGAGCGATTAGGCGCAGTTCGGCAGTGAGCACATTGGCATCGGACGTAATGCCGGCCACGGAGCAGACCATATTCCTGTGAAGAAACGATTCTTATAAGTATCTTAATGATTGTGAAATGTAAAAATCCTGATATAGATCATTGGACGCTGCTTGGAAATCAAAATTCCAGACCCCTATTTCCCAGCCGGGAAAACCACCCATCAACTCACTCATTCAGGCGGTAGATTTTCTCCGAGGGAATGGCGCTGTCCAGCAGTTTGTTTGTGCTGCGGCACTCAGCGGCGAGGAGGATGCCGTCCTCGGCCAGAATGCCAAGGCAAGTACCGGCGTGCGAAATGGCCTCCATGGCGTACTCTACTTGGTAGAGGCGACCCTCCGGCGAGAAGATCGTGGTGCGGGAATCATAGCGGCGCGCCTATCAAACGACAAACACGGACAGATTAGAACACTTGACCACATCATAGAGACCGAATATTGCTGTTGATTGGTATGTACTTACCATCTTTTTCAAATATATAAATTTACAAGTTTGTTTTGCAAAACGAACAGAAATTACTTGTCATTCAGTGTAGCCGAAGTGTGCCCAGCGCTCTTTCCGCTCATAATACTATAACGCCCAGAAAAAGTGGCCGAATAAAGGCCACATTTGCGACATGTCGTTGAATGGTTACACTTGATTCGAGGCGGGAAGTAATTTTTAATGTTTTCTCAAGTTAATTGTCGTTTTTAGGATTAAAATCTGACGGAGTTATGCCTGAACAGTTGGTTGGTGCTACTGAGAGAAAAACCAGCAAATTACTGGTACACATAATGAAAAGCCGGTCTAAACAGTGCTGCCAGACAGTTTCGCAGTTCCATTGGAAATTCTAATTAGAATGCGTAGTATTTTTTTAGTATAAAATGCAGGAGATATTTCTGTGCCGGAAGGTATTCCTACCGTTTTAAGCGCGGTCAGACTATTTGTGTAATTGTATTGGAGGACGCGGGAATTGTTCAACTTGGTCATCGTTGTAATTCGAAAACATGGGAGATCTACTCAGCGTATGTACAATAGGTCGTATGGTATTGAATATGTGCTTTATATAATATCACCCCGCTTGCAGAACTCCGAGTTTTTCAAGAAACTTGGGGTGGACAGCTCTAATCAGTGGATTCTCTATGATGAGCAGATGGAAAAGTTCTTCAAGTACCTGTCCGAGAACATAACAGATGTGAATATCCTCACAGAGAGAGAAGTTCTCGAGCGGGCAGATATGCAGCAGAGAGGAGAGTGGCTAGATGCATCTGGTCGAGAGCAAAGACTCCTGCAGATCGAGTCGGAGAGCCCGGGTCTCCTAAACTATAGTCAGCAAGATGTTGACGCCCTGACCTCAGAGATTGAAGCTGTCGAAGAGGCGTCGAGAGAGTATGCAACGCTATTGGAAGACATGCTGTATGGGTTTATTTCCTGAAATCATATTTTTAAAATACTTTTCCCTATAAGCCGCTAATTTTCTTCTAGCAACAACGAGCACTCAATAAATAATTATCTAAGCGAGCTAGAGTGCGCTACATCCGAGTTTCAGACTATGGAGAAGGAATTGATCTTTGAGTGTCAATCCCAAGCCAAGCAATTGGAGGAGCTGCAGCGTGAGAACTGCCGGCTGAGCAGTGAGGCCAAAAAGGCCTTTACCTCCCAGCAGATGCCTCCCGTCTTCATGCATCAACTGCCACTGGAGCAGTATTTCAATAAGTGTGACTCGTTCATGCAATTCTTTACCCTGTATGTTAAGGACAACTTCAAGATCCAGGATTATGATGAGTTCCAGAGCGCAGAGGCAGATCTACTGCAGGAAAAAAGCAAACTGGAAAACTTGCAACACGGGTACGGAGAGCAAAGCAATTCTGTGACACATAGAAGCTTACACCTGTATTTCCTTTCCAGCATCCAGTATTATGCACTGTCCTACATCAAAAAGAGGGCCAAGGCCAAGGCCACACAGGCTCTAATCGATCAGCTTGATCTGAAGCAGATTCACTGCCTTAGCCTGGCGGACATGGGGCGTGAGTTGCACGACCTGCAGCTACACAACGAGAACCAACTGAGCATACACGACACCCTTTTCAGTGATATTACAAACCACATACAACAGCATACACAGCGGCGCATAGAGCTTGTGCTATTTGAGAATACTAAACTGAAGCTGGAACGAGCATTGCAGCGACATGAAAGCGACAAAAAGCTAACCAAAATCATATCGGATGCCCTGTCCAATGCCGAGTTGCTGTGGATCGCCATTCAGCTGGACTGTGACAAGACACGTAACTGCATGGACCCCTCGGAGGAGCTTCGGAATCAGGCACAGGCAACGTGGCAACGGGTTCAGACAATGCGCTCTATTAATGCCAGCCACCAGGGCCTTAGTGCTCAGTTTGTGCAACAAATTGCCAAACTGTTATCGGCACATCTTGGGCATACTGTCAAGGCGGCGGAGGCCAAGACTTGTCTCTTTGAATACGAAAAGTTTGGACGCCTGCTCTCCTATTCCTTCCAAAGTATGCTCAACAGGAAGTCCTGTGTCACAGCCCAGGATCAGCTCTCGGAACTGTGAGTTAAAAGTCTTCTCATATTGGTAGTTATTCTCATATTAATTGAATTTGCAGCAAGCGCCTGGAGCAGACCCTCCGACCGTTTGTGTACGATTCCCCGATTGAACAGCCCATGTTAGAGAATGTTCGGTATTTAAATCGCATTTTCAATGTTACCCAGCAACACAGTCGCTTGGAAGAGGCCGTGCGATCCCTGCGCACTGATTTCCAGGAACACATTGTAGGTCGTATGGTAAGTTCAGTTAAATATTAAATGGCAGGTGATTACTTGCTACATTTTATTGTAATACATTTTCGCTTTAGGACAGGGATAAACTTTGGCGATACAGTGTGCTTCTATGGATCTGGTTCCTTACTGAGCCGCAACGTGTGATGTATGCCATTGAGGAGGTGAAGAAGGTAGCCGCTGGTGTGGTCCGTCCTGGTGGCCGGCTACAGCGCAAATGATTTTAGTCCAATCTGGTCAGTAAATAAATTGTACATGAATAAGAATTAAAATGTAAAAAAATTATAATGGTAATATGTTGTTTTAGGTATTAGGACTTGAAAGAAAGAGATTTTATACGTTACGAAAAAGCTTATCATATTCTCTTTACTCTTTCCTTTGATTAATTTTGGTATTTCATTACCAAGAATCTTTCTTTAACATGCTTTTTCCAATCGCACTGCGTATAAACATATCTGAAAGGGTTTGTAGCCACCCTTAAACGCATTGCATACAATAGGGAGATGCTGTATTTGCTTAAGAATTGCGAACTTACGACGTTGACTTTAAGACTGCCCCCAAACAGACACATTAATTGTTGCCGGCACGCGACGTCGTTTCCAAGCGATTGCCATTCAAATTCGTCCTAGGAGCAACAAGTAAGACCGTGAAACCTTGCTCGCCTAACCTAGAGAATCACTTTCCTTCGCCCAGACGAAGCCAGTTGGCCAGCAAATAGCCTGCCTCCCATTGGCTGCAGCAACTCGGGTCTTGTGCCGACTTGTCCCGAACTCGAGTCCTGGCATATATAAAAGGACCAACGGTTCTGGCCGTGGCCTCAGTCGATTAACTTGCTCCGAGATAGCTTTCTTTTATAACTTTTCGGTAATACAATTAAAAACAGTGAAGTGAACAGTGTTTTAAAATCTTTAAAAAGTGTTTTAAAGTTCTTAAATGCAATTATTTAAAGCTTTAAGTTAAAGTTGTGCCAAACGCAAGAGAACTGTGGGACACTTAAATTTAAAGGGGATAATGATTCGCGCCTCATTAAGCCTTATTGCGATTTGAATTAATTTCAGAATTAATTTAGCTCTAGAAATTCAAGTGCTGTGCGATAAATTCAACTTCGGATTTTCGGGTCAAAGAAAAAAAATTAAATCAGTAAAAAGTGGTTGCTTCCTTACCAGGATTCATATTAAATAAGTGTTGACCATATTACTGAATAAATTTGCCTAAATTTTATAATATGCTTTAAAGAGTATTGCGCGTTAGTTCAATTTCCATAATTAACATGAAACATTTTTGTTAGAGTTTATATGTGAATTGTGTTATTATTTACAGGAAAATGGGCCAATTTGCCGAGTTATTTTTTTGTTTTAAAAACTTTTAATTCTGTCAAGTCTCTTTAAGCCCCATTCGATTCAATTAATTATGCCCTTGAACAGTCTTTTAGTTAAAAGCTCTTTTGAAATGGACCTTCTTCGGGTCATTATCAATTTCTTCTTCGTGATGTCGACGGAATCCTTCAGTGTCCATCCCAATCCCAAGCGCAATGAGATCAGTTGGGATGAAGCAAACAAGGATCTTAGTCTGGATACCACGACATCAATGTTGGGATTTAACAGCAATGATTCCTTTGTGGAGGTAAGGACTTTCGAGAGAAGCAGGGACGCGAAATCCCATCAGTTGGCTAGGTTCAACGAAATGGGTGAAATGGGACAGATGCGTGTCTACAACGTTGGTGTGCTGATGGCCTCTCATTTGGGTAAGTGGGTAATCGGTGTGGGGATTTGAGATTTGATTACCTTGCTTTTCTGCAGATTCACCTTTTGATCTAGAACGTTGCGGGCCAGCCGTGGACTTGGCATTGGACCAGATCAACAAGGTCTTCCTTCGACCTCACAATATAACGCTACTGAAGAAGAAGGCAAGGTGAGCCACCTTTCTGCGTTTTCCGTAGAACTTTTGTAAAAGCTTAGAGATCATTCTATTCACCTCATATTCCTTTCTCAGTTATCCTTCCTGCTCTGGGGCCAGGGCTCCCGGACTGGCGGCAGACATGCACTTCCAGGACGACGTAATCGCCTTCATTGGACCCGCTTGCGCTTTTGCCCTTGAACCGGTTGCACGTTTGGCCGCTTATTGGAACACGCCTATCATTACCGGCATGGGAGATCAGGTGAGGAGACTCCCCGGCATCAGGTGAAGGGAAACTCACGGAGATGGGGTTCTGCAGTCGCGTGTCAAGCAACACAGCACGTCGCTTTCAATTATGTGACCTCTGAGTCTGCGAAATGCGGAAACTTAATCTTAAGCCTAATCCTGAAGCACCCACTCCCCAAGCAAACCTGCCTGCTCCATATCGCCCGCTGCCTCCACGCACAGCCAGAGGCAATCACATTTAGTCGACTTAATTGTCGTGGTCGTACTCTTGACATTGCCAATTAAATGGCGTTCCGCTCGCTCTTTAATTTGCATTTAAGTTCGTCGTGTTATTGATAACAAATGACATTTCTCGTATCCTCTCCCCTGCTGCTGCCAGCCACCTTCCTCGGAGGGTGAACTAACGGTGACTTCTGGAATCCTGGGAAGGATACACAAGTGGAAAAATGAAAATACGGTAAGTGTTTGAGTGTGAGGTCGGTCCTGTTAGGCATAAAAATTAAAATTAAATCTCACCACTTTAACATCACTGTATCACTATTGGTGTATTTCTCACTGTGTGGCTTGAACCATTCCTGGCTTGAGCAACGGGCTACTAGCCCTCTCGCTACTCTTACTCCTTACAGGGCATGTTCAAGGACAAGTCCAAGTATCCCACCCTCACCCGGATGTCCTATTGCCAATGTCGTCTTATCCTCGTCTTCGCCAGTGTCTTCCGCCAATTCAACTGGCGTCATGTAGCGCTCCTTGTGGACAGGTCGGAGCTATTCTCGTGGACGGTGGGTAAGAACCTAGAGTACGGACTGCGTCAGGAGGGACTGTTGAGTTTCGTGCGAGAATTAAATGGCAATGAGGAGGAGATCTATGAGAACTATCTGAAGGATGCAAGCATGTATGCCAGGGGTAAGTCTAACTGAAGTTAACTGTATAAGATAGGTAACATAGCTGATGCAGTACCTTGATCCAACCGAAAAACTATCTAATTGGAGCTTGGAGTGTACTAAAGAAGTATATATTTTAGTTGCGGACATATTTTCCTTTCCATTGCAGTTGTTATCCTGTCAGTTCGCGGTGTTCTAGTGCGTAAATTCATGCTGGCTGCCCACAGCCTGGGCATGACCAATGGCGAGTGGGTCTTTCTGGATGTGGAGATCTTCCAGAGCGATTACTGGGGAGACAAGGGCTGGGAGATGAAGGACGAGCACGACGCCAAGGCTCGCAAGGCGTACGAGGCTTTGCTGAGAGTGAGCCTTCTGCAGCCGACCAGTCCGAAGTTCCAGGATTTTGCGGACAATGTACGCGAGAACGCACTCTATGATTATAATTATACATTTGGCGAGGGCGAGGAGGTGAACTTCTTTATAGGAGCCTTCTACGATGGTGTCTACCTGCTGGGAATGGCTTTGAATGAAACTCTCACCGAGGGTGGTGACATTCGGGATGGCGTCAATATCACGAGACGGATGTGGAATCGCACCTTTGAGGGCATCACTGGCCACGTACGCATCGATGACAATGGCGATCGTGATGCAGATTACTCCATTCTGGATCTAGACCCCATTAATGGCAAATTTTCCGTGGTAGCTCATTATTCCGGATTGCATAAGTAAGTAGGAATGAGGAAATAAAAAGTTAAGAATTCTTAAACATTATTTCATATTTATAGAGAATACGCAGCTGTCCATGGTAAAAAGATCCATTGGCCAGGCGGACGTGAGGAGCCACCACCGGATGTGCCACCATGCGGCTTTCTAGGGAACTCCCCGGATTGTCATGGGAATGGTTGGTGATATTATACACTAATTAAGAAACTGGAAACTCTATTTATGTTTCATTTTTGCAGAATCCACCATTATGTACTCCATATTTGGTCTGGCGCTGTTCTTGGGTCTCGTCTTTTGGTTATTTGTCTGCTCCAAAAGTAAGTTAAAAATATAAATATAATAAGTGTAATATTATTTTCCAATTTAAGGCAGATGAAGCTTAGTAAGGAACTCAACAACATGTCCTGGCGGGTGCGGCCCGATGATGTTCTGATCGAGATGGGTGGCATGTTCGGTTCGAAAGGCGGTCTGCAGCGCCTGGACGTGGAGAACATCTCTCTGCAGCAGTTCGGCATCCACTCGGGCCGTGCCTCAATCGCCAGCTTCACCTCGCTGCCACCGCAGGTGTACACGACAATTGGACAGTTCAAGGGCGAGCGGGTGGCCATCAAAAAGGTAAACGTTAAGAAGGTGGAGCTGACGCCGCAGCTGCTCTGGGAGATCAAGCAGGCGCGGGACGTGAGCCATGAGAACACGGTTCGTTTTGTGGGGCCTGCATTGATCTGCCCCGTCCCACGGTGCTCATCCTCACCGAATACTGCTCCCGGGGCAGTCTTAAGGACGTGCTGGAGAACGAGGCTATCGAGCTGGACTGGAATTTCCGCATGTCACTTATCCACGACATTGTCAAGGGCATGAACTATCTTCATAACAGCGATGTAGCCGCTCACGGCAAGCTGCGATCCTGCAATTGCCTTATCGATGGACGCTTCGTGCTCAAGATTTCTGACTTTGGACTGAGCACGTTGACCACGCCCTCGGATTTTGTGCGGGATCAAAACTACTATCTCAGTAAGTTGTTATCCAAAATACAAAACTTAGGGAAAGCTAAGAAGGTTTTTAAAACATTTTAGAGCTGCTGTGGATCGCTCCGGAGCTGCTGCCGCTAACCTCCATTCCTGGTTGCTGTCCAGCTACGCAGCGCGGTGACGTCTATTCCTTCGGCATAATTCTGGAGGAGATCGTCAACCGTGGGGGACCGTACCAGGAGGCGCGCCAGCAGATGGACGTACACACGATTCTGCACAAGGTGAGGCAGTGCAACGGCTTTAGACCACTTATCCGGGAGCGTGAGTGTCCACCAGACCTTCTGGAACTGATGGAGAAGTGTTGGGCAGACAACCAGGAGGAGCGGCCCACCTTCTCAACGATACGCAGCAACATTCGCACCATAATGAAGTGAGTCCCTATCGACTATAAAGATAAAATGAATAATTTATTGTTTAAAAAAATCTAGAGGCTTCTGTGAAAACCTGATGGATGACTTACTAAACCGAATGGAGCAGTATGCCAACAATCTGGAGAGTCTCGTTGAGGAGAAGACGCGACAGTTGAGCCTGGAGAAGCAGCGAACCGAGGAATTACTCTACCAGATCCTGCCCCGTCCTGTGGCCCAGCAGCTAATGGCCGGCGATCTCGTCGAGCCGGAGGAGTTCAGTAGCGTGACCATATACTTCAGCGATATTGTTGGCTTCACAGAGCTCTGCGCCCGCAGCAGTCCCATGGATGTAGTGAACTTTCTCAACGACCTGTACAGCACCTTTGACCGGATCATTGGATTCTACGACGTGTACAAGGTGGAGACCATTGGCGATGCCTATTTGGTGGTCTCAGGTCTCCCGGAGCCCAATGGGGATAAGCACGCCCGCGAGATTGCACTGATGGCACTGGACATCCTCCAGGCAGTGAGCTCTTTCAACCTGCGTCATAAACCGGAGTACAAAATCCAGATACGCATCGGAATGCACTCGGGTTCCGTTTGCGCAGGCGTTGTGGGCAAGAAGATGCCGCATTACTGTCTCTTTGGGGACACAGTAAATACAGCCTCGAGGATGGAGAGCACTGGCCAACCAGGTAAGATTCACGTCTCCTCCGCCACCAAGGTTATACTGGAAAAGTTTGGCACTTTCCAAATGGAGCAGCGTGGTGACGTTGAGCTTAAGGGCAAGGGCACGGTGACAACGTACTGGCTAAACAGCACCACTGAGGGCGAGGCCCGGCCACCCACACCGCAGATCCTTGCAACCGACGAGGTGCCCTTCCCACTCCTCTTTGCCGGCATGGGAAAGTAAAGAAGCTAGATCGATTTGAAGTCGATCTCCTACCAATCAGTATTAACAGTAGCCTCTGCTGAATATTTTATACATATATATTATGGATTAAAATAAATATATGCTTTTACTGTTTTGAAAAAATTGCTAATTGTTACCAGTAAACTGATGGTAATTTCTTGATTATGAAAGAAACTAAAAATATTAAAAACAAGAAAGGAAACTTACTTCCATTTTCGATCATTCATAACTAAGCCAAAATGCATTAATTTCAAATTGGAAAACGGTTCTTTGCTAGTTTTTTTTTAGGTTAACAAATCTGCATACTAAATTAATATTTAACAAAAGTAAAATTTTTGCGAATTTTTTATCAATTTTAACGATTTTTGAAATATCGAAAAAATTTTGAAAATTTATTTTTGAACCGGACATGGTCAGAATGATTTGCCTGTTGATGCTGATCAAGAATATATATGATTTATAGGGTCAAAAATGATCCCTTCACTTTCATTTAAGCTTCTGATTGAAGGTGGAATACCATTTTAGTCGATATTATTTATAACAAAGCTAAAAATGCATTAATTTCAATTCAAAAAGCGTTCGTATGTTCATTTTTAGCAGGTTAATAGAACTGAATACCCCATTTAAAATGTTTAAAATTTTTGGCCAAAATACTCGTGGAATATATCTAAAAATATAACCAAAATACACATCCCCTGAGTTAAAGGCGCCTTTAGCGTTTTATCCCATCTCGTTAACAGGTGTTTTTGCTTTATATATTCAGATACGCTTTCTAATGTCCTTTGATTTCATAAAAACAAGCACTATATGCTAAGAGCTTTTAGGAAAAGCGAATTTCCAGGATAAAAGCTTAACTGCTTTCAGGAACCAGAATGTAGACGGTGGATTTTCCAATTCCTTAGCCATCAGCTGTTCGAACTGAAAGCGCTTTTCCGCAGGGGGAGGAAATCTGTATTTGCGCATAGCCGTGGAAAAAGGAATAGGCACAAAAACAAAGTCGTGGAAATAGAAAGAAAGTCCTGTTCGTCCTTTAACAGGCAATAGTTAAATTGTATAATGAGCATCCATCCGAAGCCAAAGGATCTGGAGGTCAAAGCGAATGCCTTGGTCAATGGAAACGAAACGAAATTCACCTGCTAGCCATGTAGATGCAGTGTAGATACCCGGAAGAAGATACAGATACAGATACACACACCGCTAGAAGAGCACTCCGTAGCATAGCCCAACGTAGTCTGCCGCCATGAAGGTGTTCCGGCTGCGCCTGGTGAAGCTTCTCTTGCTGGGATTCCTGCTGGCCAACCTGGTCTTCTTCTACTACACCTGGAACACGTTGCTCTGGCGTCGCATTAGCAGAGCCCTTTCCGGCGAATCGGCCGCAGCGGAGGAGCCAGAGCCACCGAAAGCGGCCAAGCTGTCGCCGAAGGACAAGGTGCGGAATGCCAATAAGCACATCCGGAAGTCCATTACCATCGTGTTCTACGGCCACTACAACTTCGAGCAGGATCTGCGTGCGAGCATCGATAGTATCTTGGATGTGATACCCAATATGCCCATCCTAGTGCTCCAGGAAGGTGGATCCGACTATGCCTATCCACCGGTTGGCTACGAGCGGAATTTAACAGCCGGAGAGGAGCACACCGTGGTGTTCCAGAGCCTGGCCTTCGATGTGCGTCGTACGCGGCAGGAGCTGAATCCCCTGGCCGCCATCCGGACCAAGTATGCTCTTCTCATGCCGGACAGTGTGCGCCTGAGCAGCAAGAACCTGTTACAGAAGATCCTGCGTGAGATCAATTCAATGGGATTGCCGGGACAGCCCAAGGAGCAACGTCCACCCGTTCCGCCTGAGGAGATGGTACGTCGGATGGTGCTGGTGCCATTCGCAGGCAACCTTAAGACCTTTAGTACCTGTGTCAGAATGACCATGGATCTGCCCAACTGGACGCTGGAACTAGTGGCCACCAATGATAGTCGGCGTTGTGATTTGGTGAGTAAATTTGAAAGGGGTTTGAGTGGTTAAGCTGATTATCTTCTTTCCCCCAACAGTTCCTTCAGAAGCACGCCATCCTGTTAGATGTGGCTGCATTGGGCTCCATGCCCGAGCCCTTCACCCTGCCATTCCCGGAGATGCTCTATATGCAGGCTAAGATTGCCAATCTGTCGGTGAGTATGCCTCCCGGATGCTTCCAAAAACCCGATTTTGAAATCCCTTCTTGTAGACCACGGTGTTTCCCCAAGCGTTCCAAGAGGGCCGGCGTCTTTTCGCCTCCTTTCACACCAAGCAGCGGAGGATGGAGTTACGGCGCCGACAGTTCCGGGAAATGTACAAAAGCTGCAGATCAAGAGGATCGTTCGGCGGGCGTACCGGGTTCCTGGTAAGGCACAAGCAAGAGATGTATGGGGCCAGGGTCACGGTCTGGTGCTTGATGGCCAGTTCTCCTCGTCCAACACCTCGCTGCCCCTGATTACCGACATCGATCTGTTTGGTTGCGAACGAACCACCAAGTCCTGCATCGGGAATGTGTACGGCGGAAGGCCGTTCTACTCTTACCTGGACAAACATACCCCACCTTGCTGTCTGGATAAGCTGCGGACAACGTTTAACCACGTCCTGGAGGAGTTTGAGAACGTTGGCATTCGTTACTGGCTGGACAATCGGGCGCTCCAAAGCGCCATCGAAACAAATCACCTATCGCCGGACGCCTACGATATAGATATTAGTTTCAATGTCCAGGACTTGGAACGATCCAATGCAATGAAGAAGTCGCAGAGCAAGCCGTATGTGGACAATGAGGGCTTCTACTGGATCAAGGCCACCGATGGCCACTATTTTCGGGTGCAGTTCTCCAAGCTAAACCAGGTGGGCGTCAATCTGCTGCCGTATGAGATTAGTGGAACGGAAGCGCGAGCCAACGGATTTTTCGGATGGAAGGCTACCACCTTCTCGGCGGACTTCCTGCATCCAATGTCCACGGTTCTGTTTCTGGGCAAGAGCGTCATGTGTCCAAACAATGTTCTCGAGTATCTGGAGGCTAAGCACATCAGAGTCAAGTCCGCTGACTTGGATGCGGAGGAGGAGTGAACTGGACTGGACTAAAACCAAAGGCTATATAAGGAATAAGATGCCTTCACTTAAGGCATCTTATTCATTATATGGTCTTTGTCCCATGAGCCTGTAAAGAAACCTTGGAAAGCTGAAATTATTTATGTTGTTCTGGATAATCTATTATCAGATTATTATCTGTGTTGATATCCGTGTTTTAATGAAATCACGGTCCAGATGTATCTTCGGGCCTTTGTGATTCAAGATCTCTCAGTCCAGCAATTCAGCAATTATTTTGTTTAACGCCAGACCTTATGACGGATTTGACTACAGTTTAATTAAATTTTCTATTTTGTTTTTCTAGCGCAGATATATATGATATTATACAATTTTGTGATCCTTTACATTGCTTCTAAGTTCCTTTAGTTGGTTGACCTCAACCGGACGTCGATAGCAAATTCGTTTAGACTTATAGGAACATAAACATTAACATAAGACGGATGAACTACGATTCTTTTAGAACCAGCAGATCTATATGTGTAAAATATAATACATACAATCAGACTCGAGTGTTTATATGCGGGGCTTATCAAAATATATCTGTCAACGGCTTTAATTTAGCTGCGTACAGTGGTGGCTGCATCAGGCACCACACTTCCCTCGGGTAGCTCCCGGACCAGTGAAAGAAGTTTTTCGAGCTTGCTTATCTGCAGGGTGGTTTGGTCGAGATACAGCTGCTTTTTGGGTGGCTTGACCATCATCCGAAGGTTTGGCGATAGCTTCAGAGATGTGGTAACACCCCTACGAGTTTTATAATGATTAATCAAAGATTGTGCATTACAGGACAAGCAGGGACTTACTTTTCATCCCCAACCACGATGAAAGCGAGCTTCTCGTTGAAAGCCAGCCGGGTGAGCTTGTTCTTCCGCTTGGGCACCACAGCTTGGATGCAAATCGCCTTGTATTTGTTCACATTCAGATCAAAAACATGCACCTTGCCTTCGGTGGTGACCGCAGCGAAAACAGTGCTTGAGTATGGGGCCCACTTCACATCGCCGACGGCAGAGCCCAGATCAAAGATAAAGAGCGGATCGGCTCGCATGTCCTCCCAGACTTTAACCCGCCAGTCGCCGCCACAAGACACAAAGATGTTGGAGTTGAAGCGGTTAAAGTCAATGCGATAAACAGACATGTTGTGGGCATTGTATGTCATCAGATACTTAGAGCTGAAGGCCGTGCTGCACTTGTAGATGTAACCACACTCGGTGCCCACCAGGAAGATCTTAGAGAAATAGTAATATAAATATAAAAAGTAAAAGCTCACGGGAAGAAAGCCGTGTACCTTGTTGTCGATGGGATGGAAGACCATGCAAGAGCCGCCACTCTTTAGGCTAACCTTGGTACCATCTGGCCCATCCACGAGTCCGTTCTCCCGATACAGCGTTATGATAGTGGTAACCCAGAGCTTGTTCTGCATAAGGATCCAGTTAAAGACCCGTCCATCGGAAGAGACCGAGAAGAAGTTGACTTCGCCATCGGTCATGTCCTTTCCCCATTTGATTTGCCAGACGCACTCGCCGTGCTTGCAATTGACGCCCTTGGAAACGTACAGCGGTTCCTTGCAATCCTCCCGAAGGTTGTACACGGCCACCTTGCCGTCGTACAGACCAATCACCGCCAGAAAAGGATACGCTGGATGAATGTCACAGCACATTACGCCGCTGTCAGTTTGGACTAGGGATCGAGATAAAGAATTAATAAGTTTCTAAACACAGAAACCGATACGAAACCTACTTATATAGTCCGGAAATGAAGGATTTTTGACGGTGAAGAGACACAAGTAACCCTCGTTGGTTTGCTTCATGAAATCATCTAAGCATAATTGGAGAATTACCCTTTAATAATCTATTTATAAATTAACTTAAAGCTCAACTTACGTGATCCAAAACAGACAGCAAATAGGTCATAATAGCTGGGATTAAAGAGAATATCGGTGACGTTCATCTTCTTGGTCTTGTCATACTGAAACTTCCACAGGGGCAGCAGGTTGCCCTCACCCTCACGGAACTCATCCGCTGGATCCTCCCAATAGCGATAATCGTGAGCAATGTCATCATAGATATTCTGGTTGATCATCCGCTCTAGGATCTGCCAGCACTTGAGATACTTTTTGTTCAGCTGCTCGGCAATGGCGGACTTGTCTTTGAACTTCTTTTCACGCCTGCCACGCTTAATGTCTTCTTTCTTGCCGCCCCCTCCTTCTGCGACTCCGCGAAATTCTCCAGATACGAATCGTAGATGACCCACTGGAGCACATTAGCTCCGAACTGGGAGCGGGGCGGAGGAATCGTTTGGGTGTCCACACTCTGCAAGTATTGGAAATTGAAATTATGCATCATACTATTGTATTGTCTTTTAACTAACCCTCTTTGGGTTCGTATAGGTCAGAGCAGCCCGTTCGCAGTAGTTGAACTGATTAATTAGTTTCCTTTTCTTCGATGAAGCAGTCACTGCCCGCGGGGCACCGGCAGCGTCTTCGTCGTGGGTCTCGCCACCTTCCCCCTCGCCCTCACCCTCATCGCCCTCGGTGCCCTTGGCCTCCTCATCGTCTTCTTCCTCGACCTCCTCATCCTCTGGGGGACCGTCCTTAGCGCTTTAATAATTATAATTTGAATTATTTATTTTATACTAGGATTTTGTACTTAGGCTTACCCGCGGTCATCTTCGTCCTCCTCGTCTTCTCCCTCCTCTCCCTCACCGGCCTCCGGCTCGCGCTGCTCCACCACCGTATAGTTGGGCATGGGCAGCGGGTAGCCGATCTCATCTGACTCCTCGATTTGGCGGCGCGCCTCCTCCGAGTCCACGTGCAGTGAATTGCCAGTGAAGGCGATAAGAGTGACAGTGTTACCCGGCAGTGGAGCCGGGACAAACTCCCCCTCCTTAAAGCTATAGACGACGAGGTTGCGGATCACATTTGTATTGGTGGGTGTCAGGACCTTGGTGACCTCCTCACCAAGTTCCGCCTCCGTGAGATCCAGCTGGTCGTCCGGCTTGAGCAGCTGGCGGGATTTCATCCAGGCATCGAAGTCATCGGCATCGCCGCCACCGCCTCCACCACCTTCGACCTTGTTCTTGGAGCTCCTCATCTGGGGGAATTGGAACAACAGCATGACGAACTCTTTGGATTTATAATTCGGTGAGTGTGGTGCATGCAATATTCCACTGAAGGTGCCAAGAAAGAAACCAAGCTGGGAACGGGTGTGGAAGTGCCGCCACTTACCTGGCTCTAATCCCTGGGTGCAAGGTCTAGCTGGAATTGGGTCAGGTGAGAGAGGAAACATGATAAGGGGAAACCAAGCGGAATGCAGCATGCGACTTGAAAGGAGGAACATCCGAAAATCTTATGAACAATATGGCTATACCCCAAGGAGGAGTTACCTCGTCGCCGTCGCTGCCGCTGTCGCTGGCGAGCTCCTCCGCAGGATCGCCCGTGGGTCCCGGGGTACTGGACACCTCTGACATGGCGTTGCTAACTAGACTTAATGTGATTCGAAATGGGAGCGATCTGTCCTACTTAGCTACGACTACGATTTGGGTTTTATATATTTGAAGAAACAACTACAGATTGTATGTACATTGTATTTACAGTTTGTAAATGAAGAAATTTATTGGTTATTTACATTAGTTACAATCAGGCACTCGTGGTATTTACAGATCCCTAGGTCACAATGCGTTCCAAAACTCTCAGAAGCTAGTTTAGAGATTTTTCTGTTTTAAAAGTGATAATATAATACAGTGCATTGAATTCTTTATTTTTACAGGATCCGTTTTAGAGAAGAAAAATTTGACGAGACTATAAAAAATAAGACCTTACTTTGGTATAAAAAAATCTTATTTTCCATATAATATTTTTCGAAAGTTTGGGTGTTAGATTCGTTATCTTAAAGTGATATATTTTTCGATCTCCCAAGGCTTTCCCTGAGGTTTTGAAACGCATCTCCCTCACACTCTCACGCACACAGTTCAACGAAGTTCGATCAGCTAAGAGTTGCTAGTGAAGATGCAATCTAATGGTCAAATACCGCCATGGCCTTGTTGGCTAGCTTCCACATCCTGGACGAAACTTGAGGTACTTGGGTCACAACAAGAAGATATATTCGAGAATACTCGAACTTGGACTGGAAGTCGGAGAAAGGCTACCGGCTGCTTCGCAGGAATCCGGCAAATGCGTCCAACGAGAGTGGCGAGGCAAGACTGAGCCCAACAGGAGCTTGAGAGCCAAAAGACCCAAGACAGCACCGATGACGTTCGCCACGTCAGCGGGCTCTTCAGGAAAGGAAATGGCGAAAAGTCGAAAAACTTTCTGGCCTGACGTCACAACAGGATGAGGCGGAGTAAAAACAAATTGCAGACAACTCGATTAGCTGGTTCTGGAATGGGGAAACCGGGGGATAACAGCAACACCGACCCTGACTGCCGTCGAGATGGGCTCTTTCATAAATACATATTTATTTTGATGGCCATCTAAATGAATAAGGTGAGCCTAGGGTCGTATACGTGAGTGATTTATCGACTCTTTTATTGCGTTGGGCCTGATGAGGCTTCGACACTCACCAGCCCGGCTAGAGCCAGGCCAAATAAATTGGTAGCTGTAACCAAATTGCACCGCTCCGATCGCTCTGATTTTCCGCTAGTTCGGAGCCCAGAGCTCCTAGCTCTGATTTTCCTTCCTGGCTTGGCTGGCACGCACATGGTGGCCATCGGGTCACGCCCACCTCCACATCCTCGGGCGGATTGGGCAGGAAATTGCAAATTATGTTTCGTGACAAAGTTCCATCAAGGAGAACTGCCTGACGGAGCCAAGCTTTCAGCCAAACTTATTAAAAAGTAAGCACAAATAAGCGCAAAAAATTTTTAAGCACAGAAATAGACTTGTGCTGAAGCAAGGACCTCGCATAGGCATTACGTTGCCAGCCATCGAGGCGAAAGGATGTGTGCACACCCAGAGGAGTTTAGTATTGTGTGCTAAAGTTCGAAAAATAAGTTATATAGCTTCGATAGTTACCTTCGGCTTGACCTGCTTGCCATCGCCCTTTCCTGGCTTTTGTGCCATTGTTCCTGCAGTTCCTGGGGTTCCTCCTTCGTGAGTTCAGTTCCTCTTGTGTCCAAGAGATTTGTCGGTAGAGTTTTTAAAATCCCTTTTCCAAGTGAAAGTTTTGTTGTTTTTTATCTAGTTCCCTGACAGGAGCCTGAAAAGTGTTTGGCCCGAGTGCGTAATTCACAGAATCGAAGCACACTGAAACGATATTTTACGTAATCGCAGGGGCCAGGACCGGGAAGTGTCTTGTCTGCCAGTTCGATGACTTTGTTTGTTTCAGTTTCTATAGAAATTTGGCAATCGGTTACGGTTACGCACTAGGTTACAGTTGCCATTTGCATATCGATTGGATATGGGAAAGAGGAGCAAAAGATGGGCCTTCCGAAAAGGTTAACAAAGTTATAGTGCTCCTCAATGCTCAGTGCCGGCAGCAGAGTGTGGAGTGTAGTGTCTATATAGATGCGCCTGCTAACGCTGCTTCAGATTATGTACATCTTATGGACTGTGAAAAATTACTATACAAATTTGTGATTAAAATTATAATTAAACTAAAATAGAGGTCCTCAGTATTATGAAAATATATAAATAATATAAAAATTTTAAAATATATGCCCTATAGAAACCAAATGCGAGCCTCTTGCTAGAATTTCTGTGGTGTAAGACTTGATTTTGTCTTATTTTAACAGTACTTAAAATGATATAAATCTAATCACAATATGTATGTAATATAGATTCAAAAGAAAATGTATCATAAATAGTTGTGTAACACATTTGTATAATAAAGAAAAAACTATTATCCAGGAAAAAGAAAAGGAAGTGACTACTCTATATAAAAATCTATTTGATGCTTAGAATCATTAGACTTGTAATTTAAAATATTAATATTTTTAATTAAATAGAAAAGGTTTAGTTAATAGAAAACTAAAATCATCTCCCCCTATTTTACGAATTTGTAACTCTTTTGATTTAAATAAAGTGAAATAAATAAAACTAAACAAGCTACACAAACTAAGCTGCACTAATTTCAATCAGAAATAGTGGTTCGGCAAGATGCAGCATCGCAGCTTGTCTAAACAAAAGCGGTCTCATCAAGAGCCCAGATATCATAATGCATTCATCACTCGCGATCAGCGGAGCCCGACCGCGTCGGCTTTTTGGTGGTGACGACGATGACGACGAGCGCTTTGATTGGAACGCCCCTTGATGCGACGCGCATATCAATTAATTACCTGCGACGACTGTTACATTTGGCTGGGCCGCGGTGGACACCGCTTTATGCGGGATTGGGCAACCCATCAGTCAGGGGATATTACAACAGAATACCTGCGGACCGATTGCAAATCGCTGGGCAGCCGGACGCACTGCAGTTGTTGGCCGAATTTATTCAAATCAGTTTGATTCCGCGTGAGGAAGCGTATAGGTGTCGTCTCTGCTCCGATCATCGTCCACTTGCAATGTGCAAATACGTCTTAATTGCTGCACTGGCCGTAATGGTAAGCGGGCGTTCAATTAATCACTAATCACCGAATTAACATTGCCCTTGGCTGCACCACATAAAACACAGGGCTCCATGGACTGCGTGCTGGCCACGCTTCACCACCTGCCCGGGGCCTTTGACTTTGACTTCTCCAACGTGGATCTGGTGAACTTCCAGTACTTTAAGAACCTGCCTTCCCAGTATCCCCGTACTGCAGCCACCGCGAATCCGTTCCTAGAGCACTTTCAGAAGAAGAAGGCAGTGCTGGACTATCTGGACCGCTTGTTCTTTGGGAATTCGCCTTTCCAGCAGCCCAGCGAGATTCCCTTTGATCCGCACTTTGGTCGCGCCTGGCGGCCGGTCTACGAACGGAAGTTTGGTCATCGTGGTGAGCGCCTCATCGCAGCCCTGGGCTCTGGTTACTCCATCCGCCAGCTGCGACACTTTGGAGCCATTCCGCAGGAGTTTGGCACGGCTCACTATCCCAGCTGAGGCGGGGGATTGATGTAGATTCAGTAGCTATAACTTATTTATGGAATAAACTAAGGAACAACGATAAACTGTGGCTGAAAGTGTTCTCGCTAGAAGGAATACCAACATAACCTGTGGATTATCATATTAGAGCAATTTTTTGTAGAAACGGTTGTATTTTTAGGGTAAAAACTTAAGCTCTAATACTTCAGACTCGCCGCTTCTGCGTGGAGATGTACAGGACATTGTTGCCGCGGATGAAGGCATCGCCGTATTTGTTCTTCAGCTGCCCGTTTACATACTCCTCCGTCTGCTCCAGACAATGTTCATGTAGCCGTCCAGGCACGCCAAGACACCTGAGGGAAAAGAAGAAACCTGTGTTAGCAACCGGCTTTTTTTGTTTACTTTAGATCTGTGGCTCTGTGGCCTTACCTCGGTAGTCCACGCCGTTGTTCAGCTTGACGGCAACGGGACGGCCGTGAATTTGGTTGATAAACTGTGAGAGGGCTTCTTTGCGAGACATATTTACTGATAAATCTTAAATTTGTTAAGGTCTTCCCGAATTTTTAATATTAGTGTGGCCAAGTGCTATATCTGACTATATTTGGCATATTTGAAAACGGAAAGATTCTATAGCTATAGCCATCACATTTGGCGTTTTTTAATTTCGGAATTGTTCTTGGACCGAATCTGGAGTAATTTTTGCTTTCATGAATTTAGAAATATTATAAGGTATACATTCTCGCTTATAGGTTATTTTTCAGCATTTAGTTTTATATTCAGCATGTTATAGCTTAATTCTGGAGAGAATCTAGCTTTCAAGGGTGCTCACGGCAAATGGTCTCACTGTACTTAACAAACTAAGCCATAGATGGCGCTTTGTACGAAATTTTGTTGACTCCTAATAAAATGTTGGTTGGCGCACGAACTTTCGCACAGTTGTAAGATAAGAAAAGGTTATAAACATTGATAAATAATGTTATTGTTGCTTAATTTGCCAGCGTCAAGGGTGACCAGTTGCTGAAATTATAAAAATGTAAAACCAAGCAGACACACTAATCTTTTTGCGCCACATTTAAATTTAAATTACAATTCATTTTCTGTGATTAATTTGTGTGGAGTAGATTAAAAGCTTAATATTATCAAGTTATACCTATTTTTTGGGAAAATTAAAAATACCGTTTTTTCTTTTCAGCTTTTTTTTTTCCTGCAGCTCTTATTGACCCAAAATTCAAATACTTATTTACATATATAGTAATTCTTGTAAGGGACTATTATTTTCCTAACCAATAATTTGTATACAATGATTTTTAACTTATTAAAAAATGATTTTAATTGTTTATATGAATGTATGTTTACTACCGCAATAGACTAAATACATTTGGTCAAAGCCAAGCCATGAAATAAATAAAGCGGAGCATATAAATTATGACCTACAATGCAACTAGGAATTACATTATATATTATATTCTGGGCTCAGTGAATACCCTCCAGTGGCGTATAGGTCTTGTACTGATATAATTCAGGGCCTCCATATCCGTAAAGGAGTTTTCCGCGTCCATGTTCATCGTAGTAGGGATAGCGGTATTTGGGCCTGTAAAACAGGAATTATAAATTAAAATTATATTATACTGGAATATAATAGTAGTTTATAAATTTAAAGTAAGATAATATACATATGTAAAGCTTACCTTTCAAAGTACTGGAAATTGGGGGCCTTTGGCTGAACGGTGGCCAGTGTTGTGTGCACCACAAAGGCAATAATAAACAGAAAGAGCTGAAAAATAAAGCAAATAAAGTGTTTAAATACTGACAGACGGCTGTAAATTTCAATGGAAGTTGTAAAATAATAAATACTTTAATAATATTGTCTACGAAATATTAAAATTACAAAAGATAAAGAAAGAGATAAAATTCATTTAGCAGTATAAATGCCAGAGTAAATTTGTGTTACTTCGTACAAGTTGTTTAACTTTAAGGTAAATACTTGCTGATTTTATCATTTTAATTTCCCCTAGTCGAGCTTATGTAGTTTCGAGAAAGTAGTTTGCATCTCATAAAAATTCGGTTACGGAAAGCTCAAATCGGGGAAGTTAAACCTCAAAGAAACTCACATTGGCTCACTGTGTCAGCCACTTAAAGTGTAAAGTGTACGGGTAAATTGCGATTTGTTGTCCAAGAAATCGCTTTCAATCGCATTTAACCAACTCGCAGCAGCAACTACTACTGGCCAACTACTGCGAGGCAACGGTTGATGACGCCGGTTATGCAACCAAAGACAACAACAATACAACGATGCGCAACTTGGCCACAACTTGTTGCTCAGAGATTATGACACATTTCGCTTGGCTTTCAACTTGGCCATAAGAAAGAGAAAGAGCGAGAGAGAGAGGAAGTTTGATGGCGATCGCGGCTTTCAAGGTCTCTCCTGGAGAGAGCCTTCCACTTTGGCCCACATATGTTTTGTGTTGTGTGATTTGGAAATGTGTCAGTCGTCACACGAATTTCGAAAGAAGAACGCCCAAGTGCTCATTGGAAATTCAAGTCACAAATTTCCTACAACGACGACGACGGTTTTCTTTTGGTGGCTGAGTGCGACTTTCGCGCAGGCGCAGCGGAAATGGTGTCAGCGGGTCTGCCATGTGGGATGTGCTAATTGGGGAAGTAAACCTTGGTGCCGGTGGAAATCTAACTTACAGGCAGCACCAGAGCGTTCAACCTAGCCATGTCTACTCCGATGCGAGTGTGTATGCAGATATAGTACGTGTATTGTTTCCCGATCGCAGGCGTTGCGGCACACAGAGATGTTCGCCGATCGCGTTTTGTTTGGCAACTGAATTGCACTGCCAGACGAAAGGTGTCCAGAGGCCGTAAAGAGAGCCGGAAAGCTTGTCAAAGAGCGTTGGAGCTTCGAAAGTCAAGCTTAAGTTTGTTGTAAAAGTCAGGCACTCTCTTTTTTAGAGTCTCTCAGGCTCTCAGTGTCTGCAGATTGCATTACTTGGTGAACAAATTTAACTGGCAATCTTAATAAAGCTTATTTTTTTTAGCCGTTTTATTTAATTTAATATTAGGTAAATACATTTGTATTTATTATATTATTTTCTAGAATTTTGTAGTTCAAAAACTATTTAATTTAGATTTAAATGGGACACTTAAATTATATGTGTTTAAGAACCAAAAGAACTCTTTGAAAGTCCCAAGAAATATAAGGTAGTTAAATAAACAATTACACTCATTAGTTAACTAAATAATTTTCGTTCATCTCTTTTAACTAATTTGTTTACTTATCGTAATGATCCTAAAGATTTTGCAACTCTTGAAGAAAGTGAAAGTCCTGAATAAAAAACTCAAAGACTAAGAGCTCTTTCCGCATGCACTTAGGCTGCCGGAAATTTATGTAAATAAACAAAAGGCAATAGTTGTAATATAAACCCACCTGATCCGACTCACGTAGGCTCTTTTTTTGTCTTCAAGAGAGTATTTAGCAGTCAGAGAGCAAGTCGAGGATCGAAAGAGATACATAGGAAGCTTCAGACTGCGGAGACAGCTGTTCCAAGTGGGCAAAAAAATGGGAATTGGGGCCAAGTTATCAAGTCACCAAAGCGGTTGTGGACCAACTGGCTGGATGCTGCCGCCTCTGATCGAGATGACGATGGACAATTATGTAACTTCTGCAACCATAAAGAGTCGAGAGCTCCATCCGTATTAACACCTACAGTCGATCCAACGGCTGTGCAACCAGTTTTTGCTTTCTTCACTTTGCGACTCTGTGCCATTTCTCCTCGGCTCCCGGGCACTTTCTTTGGCAATAGCATTTGCATTCGCATTTTTCCTTGGGTTTCTATTTCTGTTTAACATTCATTTCTACTTATTTTTTTCTCTTTTTTTTTAGTTTGCTTTTGGCTTAAAACGGACGGAGCAGTATCCTTTGGCAAATATGCGTACTTAGTTCCGTCTGCCATGAAAGACAATTTTGGGTTGTCATAAAATTAAAATTAAAAAAAAAATAAAACAGTTCATAACATTGAAGTACCTGCTCGAAGGTCGCTAGCAAAGTCACAGTTCGGAGATCATAATCCATAAATATGCCACAAAATAAAGACTTAAAAGTATAAGTACACAAAGAAAAAGAAGCATACAATATAAAAAAATCTCGTAATTATGGGTGACAACTATGATTATTTACTTTTAAGGCTAAATCATATTCTTATTTTAAGTATATATATTTATTTTCGAATAAATCTATAAAGATTTGTTTATGCAGTAAAGCATGGTGAGCTAAATAATCATTAAATATAATTTTAATACTTAAACAAGAACTTTTGAATTTAAAAATAAGTATATCGGGGTGCTCAAAAAGAAAACACAAAAATGTTTTAAGAATTTAAAGGTACATATGTATTTTTTGATACATTTATAACAATTTATTTATTTACGACTCTTTTTAAACGTATTTTAAAGCCCTAAGTATTCAGTAGAACCCCCAATATTAGTATTATATCCTCGCATATATAATGCTAATACTAATACTAATTCAAAATATTTTCAGTATAAAACATGATATATATTTTTTCTCAGTGTCTAATAAATCCGCTTTTAAAATCCGCTAAAGATTTGTAAACCCAAATTGTATCTTTGCTCTTCTCGCTCTCTGTTTCTCTCAGTTTCTCACTCTCCCAATAAGTTTTGGCTGTGTAACTTCTCAAATTTGTTTGTTTTGCCATATTTTGTTGCTGCTTTAGTGTTGATTTTTATTTCCAATATTTTTCCAACTGCCGCTTGGCTGCGCTTTATGCAACCGCACGATTTCTGCGATCCGCAGTGTTCAGTGATCAATGGTCCAGTGACTGGGACGGGCGGCGCTCCACCGGAAAGTAAAACGCGCTTCGAGACAATGTTACGCCTGAGACAGGTCTTTATGGTCTCTGTAAGTGAACCGAAATGTGATTGAAACGAAGTAAATAAGCCATAAATGAAGTGGTTAAGTGGAGTGCTTTGAACAAAATAACGCAGGAAGGCTTAAATGGAGTGATTTTGGCATAAGCCGAGTGTGTCATACGGGGCGTATGAGTAATAAATGTCGATTGATACATTTCTTGCGCAATTTCTTAAGTTTGTGAAATATTCAAGTTAACCGGCTTGAAAAAAATTGAAAATACATTTTGATTTAATAAATATTATGAGTGTTTTTATTTGTTGATACATGTTATGTTATATTTATTTCAACTTTGAGTTTATTTCTGACTGGAATTCAGATGAAATATGGAAGTTGAAGTTGTTGTTAACTTTTCAAAAGCTTGTTCTCACATAATACAGATTATCTTTTATTCATTTTTATAATTTAAGACACTTTTTCGCTTATTTTTTAATGAGTTAAGGGTTATTTTGCACCTTTGATATATATTTCTTCTTAATAATAGTATTAGTGGTAGTAATAGAAATTAAACATTTGCTTTCCAGCTTCCCCTGGTGCTGATCTTAATGCTTCAGGTCAGTCAACCAGCCGAGGGCTTTATCATACGTCTTATAACCGAGACACTACAGAATAATGTGGCTGGTGAACCCGTACTTCATGAACGAACCAATTGGGATTTCGATCCTGAGGCAGCCAAGCGGGCGAGGTCCTTGTACTACGAGGTAATCTTATCAAAATCCTTAGTAACTAAAAATCATATTAAAATTAAATCATATTCCTTGCAGAAGAATGGCTTCCGCTCGTCCAAATTCATTGAAAATCTGGGCTTGGGCCTGGATGGGCGGCACGAGGAGCGGCGACAGGCGCAGAGGGAGCGCGATGTGGGGCGGCTGAACGGGGAACACAATGTTAACTATCCGCCTGCGCCGGCTTAGCCATAAATAATTATGATTTAAAATTTAACTCTCGTTTCGTTTTCATGCCTAATCCGGACCTGGGGGATGTGCATATGGGGAAAAAACGCCAGTGCACATTGTCATCATTTTAATTTGCAGCGATTAATTGTCATTGTGCGCATTAATGTGCTTCACAAGGATTTGCATAATTTGCACAACGTTGCCGGCTTTCCCCATCCCTCCATCCCTCTCCATTCGGCTTATTGTTAATGACTTGCAGGCTGAGAAGGACGAAGATTGAGTGGGAGTGGGTGTCCTGGCTCCCACAGCAATGTTGTTGTGGTTTTAATAAACGTTATTAGCCGACTGGCAATGCTGCCTGCAACTGCAAATTGCCGCAATTACATTTCGCTGAAGCGAAAAGCAACGGCAGCTACTTACTTTCGCAATTGTTGTAATTTCATAATTCTGTCGCATAATTGAAGCCAATTTCGCTTCGAGCTGAATCAGGACAACTTAGATGGGGGACTGGGGGAAAGGATACAGGTGCGAATGAGCGAGCATTCATTCCCAGCATCAAATTCGAAGAGCTTGGAAAAGCGAAGAGATTCTGGGAAAGTGTTTCGCATTTAGGTTGCCTTCTTAAATTCTCTTGGCATACTTTTAGTCTTTGCTAAAAGATAAATTTAAGCTCAAGTTGCTAAAGGTGTTTTTGGACTACCTTTAAAATCGAATTTAAGAAGGATATATAACTTCGCGGCTAATAATAATAAAATTATAAAAAACGAGAGCAATAAGTATTAAATTATTTTTCTTATTGAACTTATTAAAGTATATTTTCTCCAAACGAAAAGAAAAAAACCTGCAGAGAGTTTTACAAAGATTAAGGTTAAAAATTCCTGAAAATAAAACAAGTTCACATAGAATTTGGTAACCTAAATATTTTGTTTCATACCTTAGTTCACCTTTTGAATGGATTTTAAAACTCCGGATGTTTCTAGATATATTTCATCGTGTTGTATTCACATATATAGTAACTCAGAGAGCATTTATTTTCATCGGAATTTTTATTAAACTGCAAAAGTCAATACCTCCACTATGTGTTCAGAACTACCAGAAATATATGAATATTCTTCAAAAGAGTTCAATCGAGTTGTAAAAAATGTCCTTATTTAAACCCTATTAAATAAATATTAGCGAATTCCAGTTGAATCGGATTGCCAGAACCGAGGGCCGACAATCATGGGTATTAAGCGAACAATGAGAGCCGCAACTGCAGAAGCCACTGCAACAGCCACTGCGGAAATTAACTGCCTCCCAAAATGAGGCGGCAACGAATGCAAGGCAAACTGCTGTGATAAATAAATAAAATTACGCACAATTTGCGGCTCTTTCGGATCAGCAGAATGGCGGAAATGCAGAACGGAAATTACATTACAACTGCAGACTGCGCACAATGCGGCGCGTACAGTGCGTATACGTGATGCGAGGCCAAAGCAAGTAGATAACACCATAAAATTGTTTAATAAATTGTTAATACAACATTGTAAATATTTCATTGATAATCATCGAGTGCCACATACCCACTCCTCCTCACCAGGAGAACCCGTGCGAACCGAAACAGTTGTTCCTGTTTATGACACTAATTTAATACGAAATCAAACAGTCATCGGCAAGTCGATAAGGCATGCGGTTTGACTTTTATTAAAGGCAAAATGTAAATAGAATCATAATGATATTTTGGTCGGGCTAACAGGGAGATTCCCATCCCCATCCCCATTCCCTTTCCCATTTCCATTCTCGTCCCGAATCCCGTCCAGGAAGAGGTGCATGCATTCATTAGCCTTATCAGCTCACTCAACATCAAATAAAATGTTTAATAACACCCCCCGATGGGCGGGGTTGCGAGTGGCAAACTCGATAATAATGACGGGATATCACAGGTTGAATCAATTGTCGCGTTGTTGGGTATTAACTTTCATTTTGTGACGATTTTCCCCTGACATCAATTGCTGTGAAAGCGGATTACTTGTCATAAAAATACGCGCACAAAAAAGGGAAAATTTATGTTAACGCACGGAAACTGGATGGGGGGAGGGGGATGGGTTCTTATTCTCGTGGAAAATGTGTGTTTTGAATGGGTGCTAAATGCTTTTTGATACTATTATTATTCTGACAGGACAGGTAGGACCATGAATTGCTGACAGGTTGATGGATGCCAAATACTCTGTTTCGAAACAGGTCAATGGATTAGATATTAAATTGAATTTTTCTAAATAAGAAGACTATTGAAATTTCACAATTATCAATAAAATATATATGACTATAAAAACAACCTGCTACACAAGGCTTTGTAAGTTTAAATCTTTATTTTGTAAATTTTCTTATAAAACAGAGTATTCGCAATTTCCTCAAATGATAAAAATGTTGTTATGCATATAATGCTAAATTTTTTGTTGACAAATTTAGTTGCCTTTCTGTTTCCTGGCGAATCAACATTAGCACAAATGCAGACTTATATTGGCTAGACATTGCATTAACCATTCCCAGTCAATTGGTTTTTATAAAATAGGACCCCCATCGAAATCCAGGGACTCGCATGGAAAGCACTTCCTCATTATTGGTTCAATGCACCTGAAGGACATCCAGAAGGAGAGGTGGTGCAATGAATTTCTTAATGCATTTCCGTTGCGCAATTGAAGTCAAACCAGAAGGCAGGGCAACAAGGACTCTGGCGGCGGCTAATGCACGGCTATAACCACAAACAACAACAATAAATGTCAGCTCGTCCTGCATGCAAGTGAAGTGCAGCCGGGGAGGAAGGGGTCGAAGGTTGGGACTTGGAAGGGAGCCCAGCGAAAGGCAAATCAACTTTGCTTGCGCATAAAATGTAATTTATAAAATGTAATATAATATCAACAGCACACGGAGCGGGCGGGGTCATCCCACAACAATGCCATAATGTCAACTGCCTTTTGTCCTTGCGGCTGATTCTGCTGGCGACCCGCTGCTGCTTGAGCTTCGCCCTCTCCCAACCGAGCAGCATTTATTTTATTTCATTAAAAGCAGGTGTACAGAGAGAAAATATATGGAGGAACTTTAGAGTAATAATATTCGAGAGGAACATTTAAATCAGAGACAGAGACAGGCACTGTCTAAGCATCTCTGATTTATGATTATTGCAGGTTGCTATCAATAGATCCAGGATATATATATTTGCATTGAAATCTAAATGTTCCTTACTTGTAAAGATATTAAAATATTAACATCTAATCTTGCATTCAAGTTTTTCTCACTGCATTGACCTCCTCGCTCCTACTCTTGTTCGTTCTCTCTCTTTCACTGCAGGAGGTCCTTTGGCATATCCTTGTGCCTTTTTTATTTGAGGGTAATTGCAATGCTAGCTGGGCAATTTTAAATTTTATCATTGCGCCCGCATCTGTCGCTGACAGATTAGTTAGTTATTCTTCTTATCCTTCTGCTGCTTCTCCAGATTGGTCCTTGCTTCTGGCTTGACTTATTCTGAGGATGCCATAATTTTGGCAAGCAATTATAAATTTACAGAAATATTCAAATCATAAGGTATAAAGTTTTATAATTATAGGGGGGGATACAAATTAATATATTGAAATCTCTTTATATAGTAAAAATATATTGTATATCTTATATGTTAGCAATGTGCAAGCTGTAATGCCTTCGAACAAGTTCATATTCAATCAATATGTTTGCCAAAGGATTTCTTTTCCTTGCCGCAAATGCAAATCCATTATCCACAATGTTCTCGACTAATGCATTCGGCAAACTTGGCGACCGTCTTGCCACAGCCTTTTTGCTTTGTTCACGCTGATTTCTTGCCATTGTTAAACATATTAGGCATGTGTGTACAGACGCAATATAATAATGGCATAGGTCTAGATGCTTAAGAGCATTTTCAAGTAGAAAATTTACAGGGCAAACAACAAGAAATATATTGGCAAAATACATAGTACAGATTTTTATAAATAATGGAAGCAAAAGCATTTCAAAGAACTCGTACCATTTTGTTATGTGAAAACAAGTGAAATGAATAAATAGCTTAACTTTTTTAGAATACTTTAATTCAATTTTAACTATATATATATATACCTATCATGAGTATAGTAAATATCTCCTATTTTTAGACCCTTTCAGGGTATTAACTTTTTAGTTGGAAGCTTAAATCTCAGTGAAGGAGTCATTTCCGACCCTACAAATCTTATATATTCTTGATCAGCATGAACAGACGAATCTTTCTATTCTTCTCCGGCAGAAATTTTTTTTTTTTTCAAAAATGTTCAATTTTTTCAAAAAAAGGAAAGGGGTTACATCGTTAAAATTGTCAAAAAGTTTATTTCTCTTAGATTTTAAACTGAGTCTGCAGAATTGTTAACCTCATAAAAAATAGCATGGGAAAGCTTTCCGAATTGAAATTAGTGGCTTTTTGGCTCAGCTGTGAGATATTTAAACTTCGATTGTTATATAAAAATTAAAATTCTATATAAAGTATGCAAACTTATTAACATATGGCAGCTTTTCAAATTGAAATCAATGAATTTTTAGCTTCTTTATGGTTAATTGCACATCCTTCCTTTCCTGTTAATCTATCAATTCCCCCATCTTAGACAAAACAAATTAAATCGCAATGACATAAATACATTTTTAATAAACAATTTTGGCCAAATTACAGTCATCAGTTGTTAGCCAAATGCAACATTTCCGGCTTAGACTCTAGATTTCAGCATAAACAACAAGGACCTGCCATTTAATTCGTCCTTCTTTCGCTCTTTTTGCCGTTGCCCGTTGCCACTCGAATTCACTTGATTACAAAGTAATTTATTGGCAAAACGAAAAGTCACAGAAGCTAGATAAACAAGGATTTGTCTCAATGACAGCCCTCTCTGTCTCGGTCTATCCGCTGTGCATACGAAATGCGGCAAATCCCAAAAATCAACAAACAAATGAAAAGAAAATTCAATAAAATGCGAGCCGAATCGCAGAGGGAACTTTTTCCCTTCTTTCGT